GCCGGCGCTCTTCTCCCCCCCCCCCCGCGGAGTATCGCGGGTCCCCGTCTTGTGCTTTTACTAATTCTTTAAAATAAAAAATAGAGATTTTGGGAGTGGAGGCTGAGGAGGGCGGGGTTTGGGGAGGGGCTTCAATGGGATACGATGCCACAGAGTCCACCTGGAGAACAGGTGTAAGAACAGGTGTAATGCCAGGGGATCTCCAGACACCACCTGGAGATAGGCAACCCCAAGAGATTGGCTTCCCCCACCATCACCCCCCTCCCCACCCCCCTGCCATGGAACGTTACAGGAGAGAAAGAGATTGGTTTCCCAACCATCACCAAATCCCCCACTCCTCCTTCCACCATCACCATGCCTTTTCTCTCTGCTGCTTCTGGTCAGTTTCACTCCCCTCCTTTCAGTTGTTAAACCTAACCGCTGATCTGTGGGACTGACCAGAAACTGCAGGGCAGCTTCCTGGCTGCAGGGCTAGGTGCACCGGGGGTGGGGGTTTCTGGCATCAGGTGGTGGAGCAGGGCTCGTGGGTGCTGGGGCTCTGCCCCCAAATGCACCACTGTAGCTAGGCCTGATGAGAGGAGAAAGAGGTAAGATGCTTTGGGTCTTCATTGGGGAGAAAGGTGGAGTATACATGACGTGAAATGGTAAAGCGTGCCTGTGACGACCTCCTTATTCTGGAGGACTGGTTTCACTTTAAAAGTGTTCTTTATTTTATTCTACTATGTATATACGGCTGCCACCAGGAAATTTAAGGCTTTCCAAACCTTTATACTTTTACTTCTGCTCTTGCTGGTTAGGTAGGCCGAGTTCAAGGCTTCTTAGGAACTATGTGGTCCTAAGGAAGTATTTCTTTCAGAGCTGGTATATTTGAATAAAAGAGGATTTATTGAAATAATTCATAAATAAAAGGGTGGAACAAGGTATCTAGTAAAGTGTAATAAATGAACCATTGCTTGGTGTATCACACACAATATGCTGCATTGGTATCTGGGGGGAGGCTCGAAGTGGAGGGCCACTGTCCCGGGACTGGATGTTATACTTTAATTCATGATGATGAAATTGGTGGGAGGGGCTGTGATTTTACATCTTATTAATCGGGGAACATTGTTAGCTGTTGCTTAGTTTATGATAGTACTGTATTAGTGTAGGTTAGGCAGATTGACTACCCACAATTTGGAATTAGATTGTTTTGTGAAAACAGTGGACTTCCACTTGATTATACTCAGGGTTCATTCTACTGCTATCGGCAGTCTGAGGCTTGGCGAAGGCTGCTGGTATGGTAATGTCTCCCCGACAGATCCCAGTGCTCATGGGGCGGGGAAAGTATAGCGGTGGGTCGAGGCCAAGAGATAAGGGAAGGGCACTGAAAAATAAGTTGGCTTGGTGTCCTTCCAGCCTATCAACCATCCCGAAGGTGGTCAGCGGTGGGGCTAGGATGGATAACCCCTCTCCGACAATGGTGCTGTGCAATGCCAGGTCTGTAAATAATAAGATCATGGTCCTATGGGACTTCCTGCAGGAGCAGAGGCTAGACCTGGCTTGCGTGACCAAGACCTGGGTGCGGGACGGGGAGACCTTTGCTCTCTCCCAGCTCCCCCCCTGGGTTCTCAGTCCTTCACCAATCTCAGACTAAGGGGTGGGGGGACGGAGTGGCGATGTTCATTCGGGAGGCTTACTCCTTCAGGGCGTTCCCACCGCTGGAAATCACGGGCATTGAGTGTGTTGGCCTGGTGTGGGAAGCCAGGGAGAGTGTTGCTATTTGGCTGGTGTACCGACCACCTACCGCTCCAGCCAATGGCCTACCGTCCCTGCTGGAGGCCATAGCAGGCTGGGCGCTGGAGCACCCTAGGCTTATTGTCTTGGGTGACTTCAACTTCCATGCCGATGATGCGACCTGCATGCTGGCAGCGGACCTGGTGTTATCCATGGTGGCGCTCGGACTCTCCCAACTTGTAACGACCCCGACTCATCAGGCTGGACACACACTCAATTTGATCTTCGTGGCTGGGGTAACACTGGACCGGATTACAGCTTCGGCTGTACCATGGTCAGATCACCTAGCCCTGAAGGCCCATCTGAATATCCCTCCCCGACCCTGTTTAGGTGGCGAGTGTATTTTGGCCAAGAGTTTTATTTCTAGCCCAAAGTATACCGATATTAAAAAAGCAGAATTTCTTTGAAGATTTAAATAAAATCATGAGACAATTCATTTGGCAGCATAAAAAGGCTAGAATAAAATGGAAAGTATTGCAGGATAGAAAAAAAAGAGGAGGATTGAATATGCCAAATTGGTACCTTTACTACCAAGCGGCCGCCCTAGCTTGGATCAAAGAATGGGTCACCTTGGAAAATAGGAGACTACTATTATTGGAGGGTCATGACTTATTAATGGGGTGGCACGCATATATATGGTACGGAAAGGATAAAATCCATTCAAATTTCAGAAAACATTGGTTAAGAGATGTACTAAATAAATTCTGGACTAAGATAAAAGAAAAATTTTATAAGAAAATACCACGATGGGTTTCACCCCAGAAGCATTCATCCAATCAGCATTGATAACAACAAATAAGAAAATAACGTATAAAACCTTGCTAAATAGAGAAAATAAATTAATAATAGAAGAAAAGTTGTTAAGGGAAAATATATTATCCTGGTGGGAAAAGACAATGCTACAAGATAGGTATAAAAAAGATATGTTAAGAGGATTTGAAGACAATAATAATGAGCTAGATAAAATATGGCTATCCTCAAATGACAAATTTATACAGAAATTGTATAACTTTTTACTGACAGACTTCGAAAAAGATGAAGAAGTGAAAGGAGTAATGTGCAGTTGGATGAAAGATATAGGGAAAAAGATAGAGCTAGATATGTGGACCAAAACTTGGGAATCGGTTAAATATATGAGAGCCATAGCCTTTATAGGCTATATGTATATAAATGTATATAAAATGCATATAAAATGTTCCATAGGTGGCATTGGTCCCCTGAAAAAATAGCAAAATGTTACTCCGGTTACCCCAGCCAATGTTGGAAATGTAAGGCTAATACAGGGACTTTTTACCACATGTGGTGGACATGCAGTAAAATTCAGGAATATTGGAAGATGGTAAGGAAATTGATTCAAGAAATAATGGAGAAAAATTTGGCGTTGGAACCTGAAATATATCTATTAAATATGTTACCTAAGGGATATCGCCAGCAGGATAAATATGTACTTGTGTATATAATAACCGCTGCCCGTTTGTTACTTGCCAAGAACTAGAAACTAGACACAGTACCGGAGGAATTAGTGGTGAAAGTGTTAGATCTAGCGCAAATGGACAACCTGAGTTTGATGTTGCAAAACAAAAATGTAAAAGTGTATGATAAAAGATGGTTTAAGGTGTATGATTGGATAGAGAAGTTAAATGTATGAGACTCTACCTTATATGTTAAGTATGTATTGGAAACCAAATAAAAATACTTATTAAAAAAACATGCATGGGATCGAGCTGTTACAACGCAATCCTCCTAGGCACGTGTCAGTGAGTCCTACGGGGCTTTGCAACTCTCTACTAAAGACACTCTAACAAGCCATCTCCTCTCCCCTCCCCACCCTGGACAAAAAGATCAAGCTTGTTCAGTGTTTAAAGTAGAGAATTTTCTTGAACATTTTGGTGAGGACCTGGGTTTGCAAAGAGAAGAGGTAGAAGAAGAAGAGGAAGAAGAGGAGGAAGAAGGAGAAGAGGAAGTAGAGGTAGAAAGCAGACACCAAGAGACATATAAAAAGAAAGAAAACAAGGTAAAACGAAATAAACCCAAACCTAGCAAATCAACCTACCACATTCTGACCAGATTTAAACATAAAAGTAGAGGGAACAAGCACTAAGTAAAGAAAATGACAGCAGGTAATAAATTTAATATTATTTCAATAAACATAAATGGTTTAAATAGTGCACACAAGAGAAGGAGAACATTCCACCAATTATAGAAAATAAACGCTGACATAATATGCTTACAGGAAACTCATATTAAAAAGACTGATGATAAATACTTAGAGTGCAAAAAGCTAGGTAAAGTGTTCATTGCATCGGTTGATGAAAAAAAAGAGGGGTTGTGATTTACGCAAAAGATTTTTTAGAGCCCGAATGGGTATGTGGGTCAGAAGATGGTAGAATAATGGCTATCACAATTATGAGAAATGGGGAAAAAATTCTTCTAATAAATATTTATGCACCTAATCAAAATCAAAAGGAATTTTTCCAAAGAATACAAACAATTTTGAGCCAAACAATAGTTAGTAATATTTGCATATTAGGAGACTATAATGCAGTCTTAGACCCAGTACTGGATAGAAAGAAGGCTAGGAAAAGATCCAAAATGGGAGGAGTACTACCAAAACGTTTTTTGCAAATAGTGGAGGAGCACAATTTATTAGATGTATGGAGAATAAGAAATGGGCAAAAAAGAGACTTTACATATTATTCAGCACGGCATAATACTTGGTCTAGGATTGATATGGTATGGTTGTCAGCTGAGACAATAAAGGATGTGACGGAATGTGAAATACTACCAAATACATTTGCAGCTCACAGTCCCATTCGCTTGACGCTAAAAGAAGAATATAGAAAAAATAGAAGTTCAATAAATATAAAATTACTTAAAGATAAGAAATTTGTCCAAAAATGTAAAAAGGAAATAGTGGAATTTTTTAAGATAAATAATAAATCAGATACCCCCAAGGAAGTCATATGGGATGCTTTTAAAGCATACATAAGAGGATGTTTCATCAATCAAAGTGCATGGATAAATAAACAGAGGAAAAAAGAGTATGACAACCTAATGCAGCAGATTAAACTACAAGAAACTAGTATGAAAACAGCTATAAACAGTGGTAATGCCAAAATTAAATTAAATCTCCTACACCATAAAATGAATTTATTGCTGAATCATGAAATACAGCACAGAATAGAATATACGAAGCAATATTACTTTGAGAATTATAAACAAGCCTAATAGGTGGTTAGCTTATAAAGTAAGGAAAGAAAGAGCAAAGCGTACAATAGTTAAACTATGTAACGATAAAAATGAAGAGAAGTTTAATTTGCAAGAACTGAAAGTAATAGTAGAAAACTTTTATAGCAAGTTATATAAATGTGACCAACAGGATGAAGAATTAATTAAAAATTATTTGAAAGAGGATAAGAATATATTCAGTGATCAACAGAGGAAGATCTTGAATGAACCCATAACAATGTTTGAGATATCTGAAACTATTAAGAAACAAACAAACAAACAAAAAAATAAGGCACCAGGCCCTGATGGGATTCCTGCGGAATTTTATAAAACTTTTGAAGAAGAGATAGGATTAACGTTCAAAGACACTTTTTAGAGGATAGGGCAAATGGAAAAAATCCCAGAGTCATGGAATCATGCACTAATTACTTTAATTCCCAAACCCAACTCGGATTTAAGTAATGTCAAAAATTATAGACCCATATCATTGCTAAATGCCGATTATAAGATATTTGCAGGAATCTTGGCAAATAGATTGAAGAAGGTACTCTCACAAATAATACACCTAGATCAGATGGGCTTTCTTCCCAAGAGACAAATGAAGAATAATGTATGAGTAATTATAGATGTATTAGAATATTATGAAGAGCACGCAGATAAAGAACTGATGTTAATGTTCCTTGATGCTGAAAAGGCTTTTGATAATTTATCGTGGGAATTTTTATTGCAAAAATTAAAAAGAGCGGAGTGCGGTCAGTATTTTCATAAAATGGTCAAATCCCTTTACACAACGCAGTATGCAAAAGTCATAGTGAACAGTGATTTAACCAATAATATACAAATTCAAAAGGGATCAAGACAAGGATGCCCTATGTCACCACTGTTGTTCATATTCGCATTAAGAGTCATTGAATGATAGGATAAGGAATAATAACTTGATTGAAGGATTAAAAGTTAAAGACGAAACGTATAAGTTATTAGCATTTGCGGATGACCTAGTGTTCATTCTAGAGAAACCAGAAACATCAATAACACACTTAATGGACACAAATTACGGACAAGTGGAAGGGCTAAAAATAAATTATAAAAAATCCAAGATTCTAGCTAAAAATTGTTTACCTAAAATTGTGCAAGAAATAAAAGACAAAACGACCATGGAATTGGTAAGGAAGGTAAAATATCTTGGAATAAATCTCACAAATAAAAGTAGTTCGCTAGAAGAGGATAATTATAAGGTGCTATTAAAAGAAATCACAAACGATCTGATAAAGTGGAAGAATATACCATTGTCTTTCATGGGAAGAATTGCCCTAATTAAGATGAATATCCTGCCAAGAGTCTTATTCTTAGCCCAAAATATACCAATATTAAAGAAACAGAACTTTTTCGAAGAGTTAAGTAAAATTACGAGGCAATTTATTTGGCAGCATAAAAAGGCCAGGATAAAATGGAAAGTATTGCAGGACAGAAAAGATAGAGGAGGATTGAATATACCTAACTGGTACCTTTACTATCAAGCGGCCGCCCTAGTTTGGATTAAAGAGTGGGTCACCTTGGAAAATAGGAGGTTACTCTTATTGGAGGGGCATGACTTGTTTATGGGATGGCACGCATATATATGGTACGGAAAGGATAAAATCCATTCAAATTTCAGAAAACATTGGTTAAGAGATGTACTAAATAAATTCTGGACTAAGATAAAAGAAAAATTTTATAAGAAAATACCACGATGGGTTTCACCCCAGAAGCATTCATCCAACCAGCATTGATAACAACAAATAAGAAAATAACGTATAAAACCTTGCTAAATAGAGAAAATAAATTAATAATAGAAGAAAAGTTGTTAAGGGAAAATATATTATCCTGGTGGGAAAAGACAATGCTACAAGATAGGTATAAAAAAGATATGTTAAGAGGATTTGAAGACAATAATAATGAGCTAGATAAAATATGGCTATCCTCAAATGACAAATTTATACAGAAATTGTATAACTTTTTACTGACAGACTTCGAAAAAGATGAAGAAGTGAAAGGAGTAATGTGCAGTTGGATGAAAGATATAGGGAAAAAGATAGAGCTAGATATGTGGACCAAAACTTGGGAATCGGTTAAATATATGAAAGCCATAGCCTTTATAGGCCGGAGCCACGCCGTTTGAGGGGAAAACTCTTCCGGTGACGTCCTGGCGGCACGCGCGCGTGCATCCGCGACCGGCTCCCGGACCAGGAAGAAGATCCCCCGCCGGTAAGAAATTGACATTTGGCAACCCTATGGAAATGTAAGGCTAATACAGGGACTTTTTACCACATGTGGTGGACATGCAGTAAAATTCAGGAATATTGGGAGATGGTGATTCAAGAAATAATGGAGAAAAATTTGGCGTTGGAACCTGAAATATATCTATTAAATATGTTACCTAAGGGATATAGCCAGCAGGATAAATATGTACTTGTGTATATAATAACCGCTGCCCGTTTGTTACTGGCCAAGAACTGGAAACTAGACACAGTACTGGAGGAATTAGTGGTGAAAGTGTTAGATCTAGGCAAATGGACAACCTGAGTTTGATTTTGCAAAACAAAAATGTAAAAGTGTATGATAAAAGATGGTTTAAGGTGTATGATTGGATAGAGAAGTTAAATGTATGAGACTCTACCTTATATGTTAAGTATGTATTGGAAACCAAATAAAAATACTTATTAAAAAAAACATGCATGGGATCGAGCTGTTACAACAGCAATCCTCCTAGGCACGTGTCAGTGAGTCCTACGGGGCTTTGCAACTCTCTACTAAAGACACTCTAACAAGCCATCTCCTCTCCCCTCCCCACCCTGGACAAAAAGATCAAGCTTGTTCCTATGAAGAAACGGGGCCAGCAGGAGCGCAGGGGACAGAAATGCCCTGTGAACACTGCAACACTTATAAAATGAATAATTAAAAAATAGTAATGATAAAAAACCCCAAGCAAATAAATGTGAAACACGGCATCGTAATCCAGCGGGTTTAAAACGAAATTATAATCATGCTGCAAAATAGAAATTATACGCATGCTGCAAAATACGTTTTCCTGATTTCTGGGGTGGGGGGACCTGGAAAGCCTTGCGAGGATTGCGCCGTGATCTCCAGCCACGTGCGTGAGAAGGGGAGTTCCCGCGGCTCTTCCCCTTCCCTTCTGAAAGGAAATTTCAGGGGGCCCCCCTTCCCAACGCCCATTCAAATAAAGGTATAAGAACAGGGCGATCGTTTACAAGAGAAGAGCTTCACCTTCATCAGCTGTTCGCCGCTTTCCTGTAATAAAGTAACCAGAGAGAACCTATAATCCGAGAAAAGCTTGGCTCGGCAATCGCCTAGGTTTGCCTGAGCCGCTGGGATCAGAGACGGGTCGTGGGATTCCCTAAGAAATTCCCGGAAGTCGGGCAGGCAGGCAATGGTAGCCGAGCCCCTGATAGCGTCGATAGGAGGTGGGGCGTCAAGAGCCCGGCGGGAAGTTTGAAATGGACGGCGGAAGACGAAGGAGGTGGGCGGGGTCAGGGCGTCGCGAGCTGTTGGGGGGGCCGGGGAGCGGTAGTTATGGCGACCAAACAGTTGGCCAGGTGAGGCCTAGTGGTGGTGGAGGGTCTGCTTCTTTCTCTACCTGTTGGCTGCTTGTTGGGTGGGTCTTGGGAGGGAGTTTGTAGTAGGGAGGAGGTTTTTGTGTTTGCTTGCTTTGGTCAGACGATGTTCTAGTCGTGGTTTCTGGTAAATGTGTATTCATTTAGCTGTTTAATTCCCTTTTCTCTCTGAATCCCGACGGGGACTGAAAGCATCTTAAAGCGTCATTCTTCTCTCGTCCATTTTATCCTCATTCTGTGATGTATATTAGGCTGAGAAAGTACCTGGTCTGTGGTGCTCACGGGTATCACGGCCAACACCCAGCATGTTTTGTGGTTCTCACCCTTCTCCATTTTATCCTTGCAGTAACGGCCCGGTGAGGGAGGGTAGGCTGAGAGTATGCGTGGCCCCTGCCACGCAGTGAGCTTTCGAGTAGGGGTGCCAGCCTCCTGGCGGGACCTGTGGATCTCCTGGAATGAAAGCTCATCTCCAGACTGCAGAGATCAGTTCCCCTGGAGAAAATGGATGCTTCAAAGAATTGACTCTATGGCACTGAGGTCCCTGCCCTCCCCAGTCTGGCAGAGCCTAGTCTGACACTCTAACTACTACACCACACTGGCTCTCACTGTTGAAAGGATGGATTGGTTAAATCACAAACCTGGGATTGGGCAGAGTGGGCACCTGAGTCTGGAAGAGCCTAGTCTGACACTCTAACTACTACACCACAGTGGCTCTCACTGGATTGGTTAAATCACAAACCTGGGATTCCTCAGTGCCTTCAGGCATAGCAAAACCAGAGATTGCTTTAGCACTAATCACTGCAATTGAGATTGTTGAGTCGCTGGCTTAACAAGTACTTGGAGAGTGATTCAGCAAAGATTCAGCTGTATAGCAGCATAGCAAAACCAGAGATTGCTTTAGCACTAGTCACTGCAGTTGAGATTGTTAAGTCAGTAGCGGAGAGTGATTCAGCTTTATTCATCAACGTCCTGCTTTTAAATTCTCCCGGCTAATGTAGCCACGCCTACTGTACAATTACCAACCAATAAGATTGTATGCATAAGGACCAATCACGGACATTCCCGCTCAGAGAGCTTGCTGACAAGTGATTGGTTGGTTCTTCCTGGACTAGCAATGCGATTGGATGGATTTGGATCCTAGCCCAGGACGAAGCTTTACATGGCAATCCAATTATGCATTCAATGGCAGCTATTGAATACATTACAGAGATGGTCTCTGCTTTTCTGCAACACACTTGTGTTGCAGAATTTCACATCATTACATTTTGCTTTGCCCATCCCGGCCTCTTGACTTTGCTGCTTAATTTTTCTTTCCTAACTTTCCTTCCTATATGCGTTGTGTCTGCAGGGGTGTGTGTGTGTGTGTGTGTTAATCTTTAGAACATACCTGAGGAAATGGGCTCTAGTCCACAAATGTTTATGTTGGAAATGTTTTTGTCAGTGTTTAAGGTGTTCTAAGCCTTTTGTTTAGTTTTTCTGCCACAAGCCAATGTGACTACTCCTTTGGGAGCAAAAGTATGTGGGATGGCTCAGTTAATCTCAACTGGAACTCTTCATCAGATGCTCATACATCTGAGGCGAGCTCTAGTCTGAGGAAGTTTATGCAGCAAGAAAAATGTGGCATCTGCCACAGGGTTCCTGCCCCCCACTCCTATTTACTGAGACAGGCTACCCCTGTGGAATTTGTAACTCAGCTCATCAGGTCAGATGGACGTCTGGTGGGAAAAGACCTCAGGTAGAAACGTTCCTCCACATGATAAACTCCCTGCACGGCAAGCAAGAGATAGAATCTTTCTCTGTGGCTGTGTTAGTTTTCTATTTGTATGGAATTTTTCATTCAAAGGAGCATTAAAAATAAATAGCCCTATATAGTCCTGCAGTTTAGGCTAGTGATATCCATTCTACCTCTTAGGGACGCTGCCACTCTATTCTCCTGTGTCCCACATTAAACACTGTCACTGCTATGCTGCATTCGCTCTCTGCTATAGCTCAGATTCAGTTTTACAACCTCAGTGAGATCCAAATTAGACTTCTTGTGAGGAGAAGATTCGTATGTATTTATTCACATATCTGGTCATTCCTGGACGAAGTGCTTTTAGAGACCGGCTTAAAACAAAATGGAGGATTCAGGTGAAACAAGCAGCTTCCTAATTCCCCTCCTCACCGTTTCTGTGCTCTGTCATTTGAAACATTTTATTTTCCAGCTCAGCAGTTTCCTATTGCTGCATCTGGGCTGGGAGAAAAATACTCCAGGCAGGGAGTGAAAGAAGAGACAGAGGTTAAATCCCCTCTCTTGCCTGCTTAAAAATCCCCAGGTGGATTCTTCATTGTGTCTAGTACAGCCCTGGGGAGCTATATTACATGTACTTGAAACAACCATTTTTTACATGTACTTGAAACAATCATTTTTATTATTATTTTTTATTATTAAATGTATACCTGCCCTACCCAGCCATGGCCTGCTCAGGGCGGCTTACAGAGAGAATAAAAACAACAAGAAGTAATTTAAATAGTTCTAAAACCATAAAACAATTTCAACGTTAAAAAAGGTGCTAGCAGATTGACAATTTAAGTTACATTTCAGACGGCAGTCGGTCTTCATTATCCCATCCTAGTGATTGACCCAGATCTTACAATGTGTGGCTGGCACAGGCTGTTCAGGGAGCCTGGTTCTCCCTCAGGGCAGCTCCTAATTGAAAGCCTGGCGGAAGAGCTCCATCTTGCAGGCCCTGTGGAGCTGCATAAGGTCCTGCAGGGCCCTGATCTCCTCCAGGAGCTCATTCCACCAGAGAGGAGCCACCACCAAGAAAGCCCTAGCCCTGGTACTAACCAGCCTGGCATCCTTTGGTCTGGGAAGGGTCAGTCGCTGTTGGGACCCTGGTTGCAGCGCTCTCTGGGGAGCATGTGAGGAAAGGCAGTGCCTCAGGTATGTAGGTCTCTGACCATAAAGGGTTTTAAAGGTAAGAACCAGCACCTTGAAGTGAATTCGGTATGCTATCACTAGCCAGTGCAATGCCTTCAACACAGGCTGAATGTGCTCTGGCATCGGGAGACCCATTAACAGTCTGGCTGCAGCATTCTGCACCAGCTGTAGCTTCCAGATTTGCGACAAGGGCAGCCCCATGTAGAGAGCATTACAGTAGTCCAATCTTGAGGTGACCATCGCATGGATCACTGTTGCCAAGTCATTGTGTTCAAGGAAGGAAACCAGCTGCCTAATCAGCCGAAGATGGTAAAAGGCTGACTTGGCAGTGGCTGCTACCTGGGCCTCCATTGTTAAGGAGGTATCCAAGAGCATTCCCAAACTCCTAACCTCCGGCGCTGGCACCAACGGAGCCCCATCGAAGGTCAGGTTTTGTGTGGAAGAGCCTGTCCTTTCATTACTTTGAGAAATGTGATTTTGATGGAAGCTAGTATGTATGTTTGCCTTGCAGGCAGCTTGGTATTCTTCGGAGAAGTTCCAAATCATCACCTGGTGATCAGAATCACAGTGGACCCAAACAGAGTGAGTGCCACATCTATTTCACAAGGTGAATGTTCAGATGGTCCCACGGTTCCTGATAGAAGTATCGTGCTGTCTCTTTTGTGCTGCAGGGCAGGAGTTTGACTACTTAATCGTCATTGATTTTGAGTCTACGTGCTGGAGAGACGGCAGAACACATTACAGTCAAGAAATAAGTAAGTGGAGGCTGAAAACTTTTGGAGGATTGTTTCTGGACAAACTGGAAAATAAAAATGAAGCTGTTCAGACATTATTCATGCAATTTCTTAGCTTTTACTAACTACCTATTGCAAATTCCATCTGATATTCATGCACATCATATATTTTATGTGCTTGAGTAGTTGGTGAAGCTGTTTTCTCTCCAAATATGTCTTCTTGTAGTTCATTAGCCCATGCAAAACAGTCTGCAATCATGGCTGCAAACTTGAGCATGGTAAGACTTCTGTGCATACATGAAATACCACATACTGGATCCTCTGTTTTCACAAAATATGAGATATGAATGAAAATGTTTCCAATACTGTAACATCTCTAGATCATATGACTTGTGAAACCGTTGTTTGTTATCCTGAGCCTTAGTTTAATTATAAAGGTAAAATGGAAGTGTTTATGACAACACCCTTTTCTCATAGTTGAATTCCCAGCAGTTCTATTAAACACTTCAAATGGAGAGATAGAATCTGAATTCCACATGTATGTCCAACCTCAGGAGCATCCAATTCTCTCTGAATTTTGTACTGAGCTAACAGGCATCACACAGGTAAGGTTTTGATTCTGTTTGGTAGAACTAATTGCAGAAACTTGTTTTTGAATTGAAGTTGGATTTAGTGAATAATGATATTGTCAAGGCTGGGCAATACAGCAAGTGAAATGACTTTAATACTTAAAAGTATCTTGTCTCTTTTGTTAAGAATCAAGTTGATGAAGGAGTCCCTCTGCCTATATGCCTGTCTCAGTTTTCTAAATGGATTCAAAAGATACAAAAGGAGAAGAAAGTTGTTTTTGATTCAGTTCGTTCAAATGTGGCTGCCTCTGGAGGAAAATTATGTGCTTTTGTTACCTGGTCAGGTAATTCACAGTACCTTCTAAATTTGGGCGGGGGGTTTAAAAAAAAGTCAGATTTCTCCTCCTAAAATCCAGTACTTATTAAACGTAACAGCACTTGCTATAAACGAGCCCAAAGCAGAGCAGAGTTAACTAACAGAGCTGGGGTGGCTTTGCGTTTGTGCCGTAGCTTTGTCTAGACAGTTCATTTGGTAATGTTTATGCACATAAGATCTCATCCAGCCATCTCTCATCCCTGCTCATTTGATCCCTGCTGTTTATCTCTCCGTGATTCTTCAGTTTGGGGTTGGTCTGCTCCCCATCCGTGTAACTGTCAGGTGTCCATGTCTGCCTGTGGGAACTATGACTAAAGTTCCCTAATGTTTCCTGTCCGGGGTGCACCGAGGTTCGGGAACCTTCTCTTTTCTAAAAAAGAGATTTGCTGTGACACACCTTTTCTGGCTTCCTGGCATCAACGGAAATCTTGATTGATTTTGGGCAGCCAGTGAGTCTGGATCATACAACAGCCCTGCTGATTCTTTTTAGTTCTCTTCTTCTGTTGACTACTCCGCAGTGTTTGGGTTTGAGCTGATGATGTGTTATATTTGAATTTTTGGTTATGAGTAATATGTGCTTTAAAATGAATCTAAATGCATGCCTAGGAAAGCTGAATTCTACATATTCCAGAAGCTAAATGAAGTTCCTTGTTTCAATCTTGTGCAGTTTTTTTATTTATGACTGTCAGGAGAGGCAAAGAGAACCTCCATGCCTTGATTGGTAGAAATATCAGGGATGCTTTAGACTGATCCTGCACTCAGCAGGGGGTTGGACTAGATGACCTCTATGGGATCCTCCAACTCTATAATTCTATGATGTATTCATTTTCTGCTGATACATGTTCCACAGTGGTAGCCTCCTCCAACTCTATGGTTCTATGATGTATTCATTTTCTGCTGATCCATGTTCCACAGTGGTAGCATAGCAGTGGTAAGCCTACTGTATCATGCTACCCTGTTCACTAGTTATCCTGTACCTTAATTCCCTGTTTTTTATAACCCAGACAATAATGGGTTGCATCCTACCACTCGGATCTGTTAAAAAGCAGCACGCTTCACCAGCACAAGGATATTCCTTCGCCTTTGGGTCCGAGGAAGGCCAGCACTGGGAGCAGTGAGGTGTAGCTCAGCATCTGCCTCTCAAAAAGCAAACAAAGTAAAAATTGTGACGATTGTACTCTGTAGAAGTCATAGGGACTCCAGGCTGGTGAACTTCTGCATTTGCACTGAATGCAAGCTACCAAAATGAAGCTCATTGGACTGTTGTGGGAATAAACATTTACAGCAACGTGTACCTGTTTCTCACACAGATTGGGATCTAGGGGTTTGTTTGCAGTATGAATGCAAAAGGAAACAGTTGCGAAAACCAGATATTTTAAATTCCTGGATTGACCTCAGGGCAACTTACAAGGTAAGAGCACCAGTGGATTGGGAAATACTTACAGGTCTGTAAAAGAGAGTTACTGATTTCGTTCTCTGCCACCCAAATGTATTTCTGTCGTAACATCTGCCTCTCAAAAGACTAGGCAGGTTTTAACTAGGTAACCTTTTTAGAGAGAAGTAGTATGTTTCTAGGCATGTGTAATAATTCTTTTTGTTTGCTTGGTTCCTTACCATTTTTGTTTCTCTTGTGCTGTTCCATCAATGTGTTCTTCCACCGATAGTTTGTGTAAGCTTTCTTGGTTTGTACTTCTCTGGATCTTCTTTGCCATGTGCTTTGGCTTTTGCATGTTAAATGCACTACTGTTTTAAGCATCACTTAATGCTGCGGTGGCTCAAGTGCTTAAGACACTGAACTGCAGGCTGGGGAAGGTCAGTAGTTCAGCAGTTCGAGACCCGGGTGCCGCATGACGACGTGAGCTCCTGTCTCTAGTTCCAGCTCCTGCCAACCTAGCAGTTCGAAAGCAAGAAATTGCAAGTAAATAAATAGGGACCACTTCGGTGGGAAGAGAACAGTGTTCCGTGCGCCTTGGTTTTTAGTCATGCAGGCCACATGACCACAGAAATGTCTTCGGACAGCGCTGGCTCTTCGGCTTGGGAACGGAGATGAGCACCGCAACCCTAGAGTCGGACTCGACTGGCTTTCGAGCAAGGGAAACCTTTACCTTTTTAATGTATGAAGTGTAGCCATCTTCAAGCAGTGGCTGGACGAACACTTGTCAGGGATGCGCTAGGCTGATCCTGCACTGAGCAAGGAGTTGGACTAGATGGTCTCTAAGGGACCCGTCCAGCTCTATGAGTCTGCTGATGCATGTTCTGCAGTGGTAGCAGTCACATCATTATCCTGATTGTCTCAAAAAAAATTTCAGCTTGGGCTTTTGCACTCGCAGCATCACTGTTGGGTTTTATTTGTGATGATGATGCATTGGACACCAGTGCCGTTTTCCACTAACAGAAGACGTTTCTATTGGCGGAACTGTCTTGTCTGCCCCTCTAACTGCAGCCGTTGATCTCCCCCCCCAGATCTCCGGGGGGGGGGTGTCAGGGACCCTCAGGGACAGCAGAAAGGGGAACCCATAGTTTTAGTTGAGGTTTTTAATTGTAAGCCATTGGGGGGAGGTTGCCTTCAGATCAAAGACCAGATAAAACATTTTAATATCTGGGAGATTAACACTGTTCTACGTCTACAAGAACTTGCAGTTGTTAAAATGAAGAGCATAGCAATTCAGCTGGCAATTACATTTGTCTTCTTCTAGCTGTTTTACTCAAGGAAGCCCCAGGGATTAAACGGCGCTTTGCAGGATGTGGGGATCATATTTGCAGGACGGGAGCATTCTGGTGAGTGTTGTGTTTGTGTTTCTCGGACAAAGGCACGCAAGAGAGCTGGGAAACTTATTTTGAATTCCTGTATGGAACAGGAATGGTTCTTTGCAAAGGTTCATCTGAGAGGGGGAAAGGCACAGGAGACGTCAGGAAAGGCTTCTTAACTCTGCTAGTGCTTGAAATCCCTTTTTAACTAAGTGGTGCCATTGGTTGTACCTGTGACCTTACACATGAAAAGTAGGTGCTCTTTTGCTAAACTCTGGCCCTGTCGCCTACTCCTCATGGAAAATTGGCCAAGGCAGCAGCAAACAGAACAGTCAACCCATGTAGCTTTTAGTCTGAAGCTGACAGTTTGGTGTTGAGGAATAACAATTCTGGATCCATTCCATAAACATCCGATTCAGCTACTCCTTGTGTCAGTTTACTAGGGCATGTTGTACTTTCTCCTGCTTAATACGCACATACATTTACAACCATTCAATCCCTGGTTTTCCGAAGGGCTGGATGACGCTCGGAACACGGCTCGCCTTGCCTGGCGGATGATCGGCGATGGATGTGGGATGAGAATCACTAAATCTCTGGATAAGGTTCGTGGTTTCTTTCTTCTTGGCACGTATCCTCGAAGAACACAGACTGAGTGAGGATTCTGCTGAAACAACAAGCTCAAATGCTCTGACCTTTGCTATTGATGTGAAGGATTCCAAGGCAGATTTTCCTCTCGCTTGTCCTAGACTCTCTTGTTTCTGTAGCTCCCCGCCCCCCCAAAAACAAAACAAAACCAATCTCTTCGTCTGTTTATGAAATCTTTAGGCGACTCCAGCAAAGAACTCTATTGCCAGATTTTTGCGCGCAAAGCCTACTGAGGGCAGTCCTTTGGGAAGCAACGATGGTGCAAAAACATCAGATTTGGACAAAAACCGGGACTGTGAAGGTACTGCAGTGATTAAAGGTGACACTGGAGAAGGACAACAGGAGTCTGAGCCTGTGCTCTTGTACGGAAGCATCCCCACTACATCCAGGAAGGGGTCAAAACCCAGCGGCTACAGCCGTGTTCAAAGTTATTCAACTGCACTCGCAGGCAGACTTGGCTCCCCAATTGGCTGTCTTCAGCCACCGTCTTTTGGCATCCAGAGCGGACTAAGCAACGGGCACCTGATGGCTAATCCCCCAACACAGAATGCAGGGCTGGTGCTGGTTTCGACTACGCTTTCCTCCATCAGTGTTTCTGAGGTGGATGTAGGTACCACTTCCGATTGTTTATCAATGTTGGCTGACTGGGAGGATTTTGCCTTGATCCCAGAATCTCAACATGAGCAGGGTTCCGAATGCCCACAGTTCAAGGACGACTCAGACATTAAGAGTTCACCCGTCTCTGGGGAGGGATCAGATTCTAGTGAGTCTGACACGACAAATTTGCAGTATGAAAGTGTTGCTGAAGTGACTCTGAATGGGGACCTCTCCAAGTCTGTTGTGTACAAAAGCCCGAATACTACGATTTATCATAAAGGCACAGCTCCAAGTAAGCCTTCAAACACTTCTGTTTTTAAACTCCCGTCAGCAAAGACAAATGCGGGTCCCCTGACACTGAGCGGAGCTCGCCTCGCATCCTCTGCTTCTGAAGCTCCAAAGAGGAAGCCTTCCAGTCCGCAGCCCGTTCCCCCAGCAAAAAAGCCCCCCTTTATCGTATACGAAGATAAAGGCGCACCATCTGCTAACTCTTCCAGAAGTTCAGGATCACCTCGAGTGCCCTGTGGCATTTTAAACTCTTCCATCAATCAAAAATTATCTTCCAGGTGTGCAGAGGCAGGGAAAGTGACCCCTCCTTTATGCAAGTGTGGCCGGAGGGCTAGAAGGCTCCACGTATCCAAGGGCGGTCCCAATCAAGGCAAAGTGTTCTACAGCTGCCCGACGGGAAAGCAGGAAGGGAGCCGAAAGGGCTGTGGCTATTTCAAATGGGAGCATACGCTGCGACAAGAGAAACTCACGCTTCCTTCCCCCGCCTCCAGCCCTGTAGGGCTACCATCTCCTGGGACGATTTTGCATTCACTGGGAAATGTTCAAAAGAAATGCCTGGGTCTCCGACCTTCGATGCGAACCTAACGACACGCCCACCATTGGCATCACTTCCTGTGTGCGCACTTCCAGGTCGGGAGGTTCCCTGGGACGTCATTGTCCTGCAGCTTGTTTGGTAAATATATCATGGCACGGATGATGCAGACCTTCAAGAATCAGAGGGGCAGGCATGGGCCAGAGTGGGATGGACACTGAACCGTTCCTGACGCTGGAGGGGTTGGACACTGTGGTCAGGACTGATCGTAATGACAGACAGTTCCTGGGTTTGCCCACACATTCCGAGCTTACAACTGTTTGATCATTTTTATGAATGTACAGATTACACTGACATTACTAGATAACACACATCCTGAGTTTTAAAAATAAGAACAGTACCAAAGGGCTTTTGTCCTCCTCCTGCCTTTGGAAGTTATGTATAATGCAACTATCACGGCTTTAACATCTTTTTTAGTCCTTTATTAATGGAATGAATTAAAAGCATGGTGCTTTACAAACGGATCCTTAGTTTTTTGGGGGGGTTTTCAACAAAGCAACAAACTCCAAAGGAAACCCAATAACCTTGTGGTCTCTGGGATGTTCTCTCTGCATCAGCTGAGCTCAAAGCTGTGGCATCCAAGGCTTGTAGCGAGGCCTCGAAAAGCCCAGGGGCGGCACCAGCTTGCCATTAAACTTGAGGATCCCACTACTTGTATTTTCTAAACTGACATGCAAATGCCAGGACATTTCAACAGCTGGGGAGGGAGAGCTTGGGCTGCTTATTTAAAGGGAACGAATGCTCGCCGTGCTACGTGGTTTGTTTCTGGGATGCCAAGGGAAAAACAGGCTTCAGCACTTCAGCTTAGGAACAGTTGCTCAGCTTATGGAATCATGTGCCTGGGCTGCCTTCCATGCTTGACGGCCAACATCCCTCACTGTGAAAGGCATGAAGAGTGGCATCTGGTTTTGTGTCTTAGAGTGTTTTTCAAACCAAGAGGCAGTGTGGATTCCTTCTTGAAAGCTTGAAACTGGAGGTTTTTAGTTAGATCATTTTACATAATCTGCATGAATTAAGGCTCACAAATGAAATAAAAATTATTTTGCTATGAACGTTTCAGCTTCTTTTGTAGTTCCAGTAGCTTCTGAACTCGCAGTTTTAACTTACACGGTACTTGGGCATAGTTGTCATCATTCATATTCCATCTGTGGAATATGTAATTCTAGAACTGTAATTGAATGGGGTTGGGGGGTAGGGCGAGATAATTAGGCACCCTCATAAACCTCTGACTGATATTAAGACCACATTTCAGCCAACAGAAAACAGATTCAGGTTCCATGGATTACAGTGGGAAACCTGTGTACTGAACTCCCCCGCTGAAATCAGCGGGGCTTTAATTTTGGTTGGGTTGTGCCTCATGTGCTCAAAATGGCCCCTCCTATTTTTGTGGCTTTGGTACTAGTCCTCCACTGAAGCCATCAGGGGAAAGCACTAGTATCAATGCTGTACAAGTATTCTCTCACTTGGGGGGCGGGGGGTGGGAATGACCTCTTTCCAGTGAGCTTGTATGCACACTTATAAACGAAGGTGGGGGGGTCTCCTTTGCTGAAATTGGGTTGCGGCCAGATTTTTCTGCTGGACATCCCTGGCCTATGTAGAACAGGGGCTCAGATGGGCAAGGAGACGTGCCATGGGTAAGAACTGGTGAGGTTAAGACTGTGAGGCACACAGAAGGGTCAGCGATGCAGGGAGAACAGGCAGTCCAGTGTAAGAGCCACTGAAACCCAACGTGCATAAAATGGTTTAAGTTTGCTCTGTACTTTTACCAGTGTGACATATTGGAGTTCTAACCCTTAAGGGGGCTAGAATTTGATGCCAATATTGTTATCATCCTGCTGGAAGCAGTCTGAATGGATGGCCTATCCTGGGCACATGCCCTGTGGGGGATAGTTTGTCGCTCTGCCATTACCTTGCCCAGGGCAGAAGGGAGGAGCAATATTCGGCGTTTGATCGCATGTCTGGCCTTGGCCGCCATCCCCAAGGCCCCCGGCAGATCCATGGTGCTCTTTAGCTTTGGAAGCAAATCTTGTTTGTGGCTTTTGAGGGGATCATGCAATGTTCTCCTTACGCAACTGAACATCTGGAAGCAGAGTGAAACTTGACATTGGTTAACGTGACAGGATCTCTTAGGACTTCTTGCGAAGCTGGGGGAGGCGGCTCAACTGCTCATCCTCACCCAAAGGTCTGACCCTGTACTTTCTTGTAATCCCCTGAGCTCTGCCGAGGGGAGTGGACTTGCGAGTCTTGCATCAGGTGCCAACACACAAGGAAACAATATAAAACTTTGTGTTCTCGGAACAAACTCTTGGAAGCAAACGCAGGCTTCTACGCTTCCCCCCACTCCTTCTTGCGCAATTCGTTTCTTCTGATCTTCCCGCTGATGGTCTTTGGTAAATGTGGCACAAACTCCATCTGTGGGTAAGAGTGAGAATTACAACCAGTGTGAGACTAGAGGACCAAACATGATTGAAGTACAGCAAATACACAGAACAGATGTGTAATGATTTCATGTTTAACTGTGTGTGTGTGGCTTTAAAAGTTTGGTTTGCATGGCTGTGATGATAATCTAGAGTGCTGGAATCAGGCAAGTGATATGATTGGTGAGTGACAGAGAGGGGGAGGGGTTTTGGAATGGATGCTGTGTGGAGGATTTGAATGTCTATCAAGAGGGTCAGTTAGGGATGACAGTTGATGAAGTCAGAAAAAGGGCAGTTAAGCTATGTATGAGAGAGAAGGGGAAGCTTCCCTGTGTGGGTTGTTGAGTTCTATGTCTTAGAGTTGAATAAGACAGTTGATAAGTTAACTTCATTCTGAAGTCTGAAGGAGAGACAGTCTTGTGTGTTATGAAAAGTTGAAGTATAAAGAAACAGTAACCGTATATGGCCTGAAGGGAAAAGGGTTACAAAGTTACATGCCCAGATCCCTGTCAGTAAGAGAGAAAAGTGTGTGATACACCAAGCATTTGTTCAGTATTTAAGCCTTCCTGGTTACAATGAGTTAATATTTTATTTGTGAATTACTTCAATAAATCCTCTTTTATTCAAATATACCCACTCTGAAAGAAATACTTCCCAGGACCACATAGTACCTCGAACGCCTTAAACCCTCGACATACCTACCCAGAAATAGAGAAAGCCTAAAGGTTTGGAAATCCTTTTAAAATTTCCTGGTGGCAGCCGGAATACCCAGTAGAATAAAATATAAAGAACACTTTTAAAGTAAAACCAGACCTCCCCAGTTAAGGGGTCATCACAAGATGTAACTCCAAAGGGTTAACAATAGTAATCTGTTGTTATTTGGCTGCAACAGATGTAATAAATGCAGATAATCATCCCAGTAGCCTCAGAAGGGTATAAATTGTGACAAGGAGACCAAAGCCAGAGAAAGGAAGCCCATCAATCTACTAAAATGTTCCCAAAACCATTTGCTTTCTAAAATGTTCACTTCATCTCCTTTAGAAGTATATTTCATTTGATATTTCACATGTTAGAGTCAAATTCAGGAGGCTGTTTCTTGATGCAAGCTGATTTGTATGGAAAGGTGAGCAAAATTGCCTCTTCAAACAACGCCGCTAAGGACTGTAAAATGTGGGGGCAGTGATTTTCAGATGTCATCCAGAGTTAGCTGACTGTCTCCTCTTGGACACAGCACTGGACTAGATGGGACCTTGGCTTGGCCCAGCAGAGCAACTTTCTTATTTGGTTGCAAGTCATAAGACCGCGTGCATCCAAATAGTTTTTTTTTTTGGGGGGGTGGGGGGATTATAGCTGCTTGTCCTTGGGGAAGGTGAACACCTGGAAACTCCATAAGAGTCTCAGCATCTAATAATAAACTGATGGGCAGGAAGGTAACAGGTTCTGACTTACCCTTCTCGGATACTTGTACGGGGCAGTGGCCTTTTTGACGTGATCCTGGAGCTCCTTGGCTAGCACTTCGGGATCGTGCGAGACGTAATCAGGGGCCAAAACAACAAAGGCCTTCACAACCTTCAGGAACAAAATGTTGAGGATAAATTTTAAGTTTGCGAAGGTTAACAGAAGCCATCTGACAGGGGGGGGGGGGTGACCTTCCCTTGCGTTGAGCCCAATGACAAAGTTGCCAGCAGCTTCTGGAGCCCCCACGGCAGGAACTTCTGCATTGTTTAACAACCTGTGTATACAGAGGCAGCTGAAGGACACTGACAGCTATGCATGTCTCGAGCCATTTCATTGTACTTAAGCCCACCACAAAGACTAAACCAAGTTAGGCCTAGGCTTGCACAGTTTAAGTGACTTGGACTTGGGGGAAGGATGGAATATGGTTTGCATGTTCCAGAATGAAAACCTCAAGCCAGGGTAAGCCGTCTGTGATCTGCATGGCTTGGGGCCTGCATGTGCTTTCTAAGGAAAGAGAGCAATGTGCAACCATTGGGGGCCTCTCTGTCTTTCTGTTTCCCTTTTCAGTCCAGCCCTCCTTCAGAAAGCCAGACAATTTGAGATAAGGCAGGCCGCTGCGTCCTCTTTAGTTTCCTGCCTGCATATCCAGTTACAGTTTGTTGGGTGAGCTGCTGCTGGGCTGAGAGGCAGCATTCACAGGTACCCTCCCTTCCAAGAACTAAAGGTCAGTGCATTCTCTGGAGGTCGTTGCCGAGAGCACCCTCCTTTTCTTGAGTGAGCCTCACTCTGACTAATATGTAGAACTGCATGGCTGGTTGATTGCATCCACCATGTCATGGTTCTCTGTTATCTGGTGGCCAGGTTTGTGGAACAGGCACACAGAAACTAAGCAGGAAGGCCAGCAATCCATTCTACACGTTAGAGGGGAGACCTTTTACAGTGCCATTCCTGTGGCAAAGACAATGTGTGCTCCAGTGTGTAGTCATGGAACGTTGACAATCAGTGCAGCTTCTGTGAGGGAAGAGAAAGGGCAGTTGGGGGCGGTAAGGAAAACTTCATCTAAGAGGAGCTAAGGCTGGAAGACAAATGCTACCACCTTTCTACAACTAAGCCAGTAGGAGGAAACCACCACCACCCCGCCCACGTAACCTCCCTCTGTTCCGTGATGGGCAGAAAAGTGGGATAGTTATTGAAGAGGGAATCTGATCACCCAGCATTCAGAATGTCCAGCCAACTCCTTGCCTGCAGGTCTCTTCTTTAAAAAATATTCAGTGCTGTAACCCTTTACCTCTCCTCTGAGGGAATCTGGGCTGCTGACAACAGCAGATTCTACGACGGCCGGATGCTCTATCAAGGCACTTTCCACTTCAAATGGCCCAATGCGGTACCTGGAGAAGGAAGAAGAGGCTCTGAGTTACCTGGCTACAAATTGTCGGTGGGAAATATGCCACATAGAAGCCATAGCGCTGAACAGTTTCCTCCAGTGATGTTACCCAGCTGAGTTGATGACATCGTCAGCTCTTCCCACGAACCAGAAGTAGCCTTCTTCGTCTCTGATCCCCCTGTCTCCAGTGACGTAGTAGCTTCCACGTATGGTTGAGGCTGTCTTCTCGGGATCCTCCTGGGGTATTAACAGTTATTTGTCAAATGCGTCAGTTTGCTGGGATTAGCCTTTGCAATGGAAAGGGGTGGGTACAGATCTCATTCACAAGTCGGCGTATTGTAAAAGTATGATTTCAGCATTAACATTGGCTTGTCAAATCATCCCTATATCGTTCAAAACAGTGTGAAGGGCGCTGCAAGAATGCAAACTGGAGGACTGTAGCCCAGTTAAAGATATCTCAGGTGATAGTATTTGACTGGTTAAATAGGTATTTGTTCGCACATGGAAGCAGTCAGAAAAAAGAGATTTCATCATATTACATTTTCTCCTGCCTTTTGTCCATTGTGAAATGCCACGTGGCATGCATATTATATTATAGCACTGGAAAAAGTGCATCAAAGGGCAACTAGAATGATAAAAGGGTTGGAACACTTTCCCTATGATGACAGGTTAAAGTGCTTGGGGCTCTTTAGCTTGGAGAAACGACGGCTGAGGGGTGACATGATCGAGGTTTATGAGATTATGCATAGGATAGATCAGGTAGAGAAAGAAGTACTTTTCTCCCAATACAAGAACTTGTGGGCACTCAATGAAATGGCTGAGCAGTCGGGTTAGAACGGACAAAAGGAAGTACTTCTTCACCCAAAGAGTGATTAACACATGGAATTCACTGCCACAGGAGGTGGCGGCGGCAACAAGCATGGACAGCTTCAAGAGGGAATTGAATAAACATATGGAGCAGAGGTCCATCAGTGTCTATTAGCCACAAGGGATAGATAGGAACTCTCGGTCTGGGGCAAGGGATGCTCTGTATTCTAGGTGCGGGGGGGGGGCAAGAGTGGGAGGGCTTCTAGTGTCGTGGCCCCGCTGGTGGACCTCCTGATGGCCCCTGGTATTTTTGGCCACTGTGTGACACAGAGTGTTGGACTGGACGGGCCATTGGCCTGATCCAACGTTGGCTTCCCTTATGTTCTTATGCATAGGGGTCCTAGGTGGTCTCTCATTGGGGCACTGGTTGGATCAGGACCTGCTTAGCTTCAGGAAGGAATTTTTTCACTGTGCTGTTTTAGGAAGGGGGAGTGGATTTTCTTTCTCATGCCATAGGGCGGGAGTCCCCACCGTGTTGCCCGCTAAGTGCTTTTTAGAAAGTAGGTGGGGCTGGGTAGGGCTTTTGCCCAGCAAGGCTCCTGATTGGCTCTGCAGACTGACAGGCACCCCGTTGGATAAAGCGTCTGCCTGAAATGTTGAAGAGTTACTCTTAAGAGTCATGCTTCACCCCACTCCTGGACATTTTGGGGTTGGCTCCCTGTGGCGGCCAACTTGCGATTGTGCCCACTGCCTGGCATCAGAATTCCGAAGGTGCCCCCGAGGCTCACAAAGATCGGAGGCCCCTGCCATAGAATGCCATCTGTGGGATATTTTAATTTTTTCTTAATATTAACCCATCCACTGTCCAATTAATCTGGGAGCACCTGCTTGGTCTTCCAGTATACAAGAGGGGGCTCGTGTGATCCAGTGCTCTCCCAAGAAAAATAGTCCCTCCCCAGAAGGCAGAACCCATCTCCTTGACTGCTTAGGGTTTTTTTTTTAACATGTAAGGAATTGCTGTGTATGGAAGAACATTCCCACGTGGGGGGGGACCCCCTACCTGCCACCTGAATTGGTTCAGTCCGGACGGCTCAACACCTCACTGACAGAGAGGGCTGTTCCTTGTAGGGGGTGCACGGCTGGAGCCGATGCCATCGGTGGGGAAAATCTCACACTGTGCAGATGAGAATGAGCTGACTGCTGAGCAAATAAGGTGTGTCAGCCAGACTAGACCCCAGTCTCGCTGGCATCGGTCACACTTAAGCTCTGTGACACTTGTGCCACTGCAACAAGACTGAGGACGACTGGTTTGGGACCCATATGTGCCATGTGTTCCTTGCTCAAAGGGGACAGGAAGCCCCAACACTTTCAGAACTCTGTAGTTGTTTAATCCTAGCCAGCCCCACAAGGACTCCTGTGTTCCACTTCTCTGTTTCTGAGTCTGAGCAGACTAGACCCCAGTCTCGCTGGCATCGGTCACACTTAAGCTCTGTGACACTTGTGCCACTGCAACAAGACTGAGGACGACTGGATTGGGACCCGCATGTGCCATGTGTTCCCTGCTCAAAGGGGATAGGAAGCCCCAACACTTTCAGAACTCTGTAGCTGTTTAATCCTAGCCGGCCCCACAAGGACTCCTGTGTTCCGTCTCTCCGTTTCTGGGTCTGAGCGATGGGTCCAGAGATGCTGAGCTTTCTAAAAACAGGCTCCGAGTGCTGTCCTAAGTAGATTCCATTGACTTAGGCTTGCACTGGACAGCAAGCAACAGCGGCAATAGTCACTGTGGTGGAGCAGTTGGAGTGTCACACTAGCCTCTGGGAGACCTGGGTTCAAATCCCCACTCTGCCATGAAGCTTGCTGGGTGACCTCAGGCCAGTCACACCCATTCAGCCTGACCTTCCCTCCAGAGCGGTTGCATGAAAATAGCACAGATGAGAGGAGAAAGATTGTAAGCTGTTTTGGGATGAAAGGCAGGATAGACAGATGGAGTAAATACCAGTACAATATTTTGTTGGTCATAAATGCGTGTCCAAAGTTGGAATGTCAGGATGTCACCTTTTTAGAGAGCCAGTTTGGTGCAGTGGTTAAGAGCATGGACTCTAACCTGGGAGACCCAGATTTGATCCCCCACTCCTCCGCATGCAGCTGCTGGTGTGACCTTGGGTCAGTCACAAGTTCTTTCAGAGCTGTTCTCTCAAGGGCAGTTCTCGAGAGAGCTCTCTCAGCCCCACCTACCTCACAGGGTGTCTGCTGTGGGGAGGGGAGGGAAAGGGATTGTAAGCCACTCTGAGACTCCTTCGGGTAGTGAAGGGCAGGGTATAAATCCAGTCTCTTCTCTTATTCTGCCTGGACTTCAGGATGTCCTATATAATTCACCAGCACCACCCCTTTTTGTCCTCACGACAGTGACTAACCCAGTGGTCACCCAGTAGACATCACGACTGAGTGAAGACCAGAATCCAGATGGCCCTGGAGCGGCTCCCGACCACTCTCTCACTCCGGTTTCCTCACCACTTTGCACTGTGACATCACCTCTGTTTTGCAGAAGAGATCATGCTGTGACCGATAAACCACTCCCCC